GGATATTTCACAAGATCTCTGAGGTCTTTACTTTGTAAAATCTGTTTCCACATGTTATCAAAACTTAATTTTTTAAGATTTGTTTTTTCTGTTTCTGTAAAATTGAGATGTACAATAAACCATTCTTTTTTTAAACCATTTTCGTCAAAACCACCGAGAGTTTGAACGATAAAAGAAACGTCATTGAATGATGTTTCTCTGTCAAAATCAAATAAAACAACGTCTGAATCAAAAACTTTCAATTTTGACAAAAATTTGTCATTAATTGGTAATCTTTTACTAATTTCCTCGGCAGCTGTCACATAAAATTGCAAACAATTTTCTCGAACATTCGCAACTATGTCTAAGTATCCGTTCTTTGTCAGTTCGTCGAGGTATTCTTTGCATTCTAATCCTAAATTTATTTCATTTAAAGATTTTTGATTATTTTTGTCAGAAAATTGAATATTATTGCATACGTTTTTTAAAAACTTAGGTTTTAGAAAGTGTTTACAAACTGTGGTTAGAAACTCTACTGATTTACAAATACAAAATAGCAAAATACAAATAAAAACATAGAAAGCATCCAACAAGAGCAGCAGCAGCCGGAGGAACAAACAAGTGGTAAATTATTTTTTTCTTTTATTTTTTGTAACTAAATGATTAATTTATATGCATGATTGTTTTATTTAATATAGTACTTATCTGTAAATGTGCTTATTTTTTAGAAAAAAGAAGAGGAGGCGGAAAGTCTCGCGCTCGCTGGTATCACCAGCGAGGTGGAAGAAATGAATGGGGAGGCAGAGGTGGATGGAAAGGCAGAGGTGGATGGGGTGGCAGAGGTGGATGGGGACAGAGAGGTGGCCAGGGTGGAAGAGGCCCTATTATAATAAAAAAATATTATATAAATAAATAAGATATTAAATAGATATACAAATAATTTTATATATTAATTTAATATTAATATTAATTTTATTTTTTTAACAATGAAACTTATTTTTTAATATCTTTTTTCTATTTTTTATTTATATTTTTATTATTTTTTAACTATATTTTTATTATTTTTTAATTTTTTATTTATATTTTTATTTTAAATTTTTTATTATTGATTTATTATTATTATTAATAATAATTTTTTAATCTAATTTATGTGATAACATTGTAATAATATATTGACTAGTTATATTGTGATAATTTTATATTAAGATTTATTCTACATATATATTAAATAAAATTTAAAATAAAATCAATTATCTCGTGCTAACTCTCTATCCCGTCACATATTTATAGATAAATAAAATGTTACTAACATGTCTGCAAATGACATCACATATGTATAAAAGAAATATAGAAAGAATAATGAAATGTGGTATAATAGGGCTCCTGACGAAGGTCCACTAAAAAAACCTGACGCGCCGTTAGTGGAACCTCGAAGGTGGTGCGGAAGACCACTATTAATAATACTATTATAATTACTAATAAACTAATAATACGTTATTTTTACAATATTTTAACAATACTAACAAGAGTACAATAAATCTGACTGCATTTATAATATATGTTACCGTCTCCTCCATTAATCTCCATAGTACAGTAACTCTTGCTAATATGCAGTAGTTTAAAATAAATAATTAAAAATGGAATAAAATATAATATGGCAAATGGAGCATATTCATAGATTGTTGGTGTAAAAATTTTAATTATTTTTTATATAGAAATAATTCGTCTACATTTGAGACGTTAAAATGTACACCGATCTCAGATTGAGATACTAGAGTGTATGAAAATTAAGTACATTATTGATCTCACTATTCGGATTCTCCGAATGTACGAATAGAAAATTATTGAACGAAAGAAAAAATATCAGGACGCGAGTGACTAATTGTAAGTTGGGAAATAATTAAAAGTTTTACAGGTATGTAAAATCTTTCGAATCGATAGACATAAATGTCAAAGCAAGCATGGCTAAACGAATAAGGCGAGTGGCAAGAGCATAGCATATGTTAAATTTACACTTTGTTACAATATTGCAAAATAACTTCATTTTTCTATTGACAATAGCAAATCTGAATTATTTTAAAAATTGTTAATTTTAACATATGCGAATATTATTAATAAATATAAACTATTATTTTTTAAGCAAAAAAAGATTATTTGATAATTTACACTGTTAGAAACAAATGCGGAAAAAAGAAAAGAAAGTTACGAGAAGCAAATCTCGAACACGGGATTTTTCATATTCCAGTTACTTGCCTTAGAAACAATTACTTCTTAGCATTTATCGTCTGTTTCGTCGGCTCAGTGGAAGGGAGACGTGCGTTCTCTTCCATTGGTCGACCGGGTCGAGCTCACACGGATAGGGTGACGTTATCGGTTCTCGGTTGTATT